ACGCATTACTGGCGTATCCCCTGATGATTGTAGAACAGTTTATTTATCTTGTATGTTAATTACTTGTTGGAAGCAGCAAACAGGACAAGGAAAATCTGTCAGAGGAGAAAACAAGAAAAAAAAATCTGATGGGAAGAGCACTCTAATTGAAGTTAAAGAATTCTAATAAGGTAAACAGGTCACTGCTTGGGAAAAAATTAATATTCAATGCAAGACTCAGTGTCGGAAATTCCACCAGTATAAATAAATGCTGTGTTCTACGTTGTCAATGCATCTGTTTCCTCAAAAATAAAGGCCACTAGAGGCTAAAAAAAATAATCTTTAACATTTTTTTATTTAAAAAATGATTGTGTATGTCCTACACTGCCCTGCTTGCTAGTTATACACTTTAAAAAAAGGCTATGTTGTTGGAACCTAGGTGGAAATTACACTGACTTTCCCATAAAGTATTTTTCTCCAGCAAAAAAGCTTCTGTACACTAGTTTGTATGAATGCAGCGAAAATTCAGCCACCAAAATTTTGGGGCCGAAAATGACCGAAAAGTGCATTTTTGGTTTTCGGCCAATAAACATTTAACACCAAAACAACATGTTCGAAACGTGCAATTACACAACAAACAGAACATAAAAAACAAACAAACAAACAAACAAAAAAAAACAGCACATCCAGCATTTATGGAAAAAAAAGGACCTCAAGCAAACAGCACAGCCCGCACTAAGAAATGCTGCTGAGAGCGTAAAGAAGAGGACCGAAGCAAGAGAGCACAGATAGCAGAGCAGAGTTTGTTAGAGTTGAGCAAGCAGCAATTAGGTTTTGAGTCAGGGGTGCGAGTTTAAATGCTACACATTGGTCTCACTGCCGGCTCAGGTCATTGGTATAAAATGCAACAGACATCCCAAGGTCCCTATTAGCATTCTGAGTATGAGAAGAATGTGACATGTCAAAAGGAAAAACCAAACTTGCCCTCTCTGATGCAGAAGTGTTTGACAACACAAGAAAGTTTCCCAGTGATTCTGCCAAGGTAAAGGGTATTACAAAAAAGTAGGTTGTGAATTAAGATTTTGATTTATTGAAATGCCTTGGGCTTTATGGCTTAGTAAACATCGTAGCCCAAACTGCTATGGTTCTAAAATTTGACACAGTAGTTTTTTTTTGGTGTTTCGGTTTTTTACCTTGATTTCCTAACTTTTTGTCTTTGGTTTCGGCCAAGAATTTTTAAATTGGTGCATCCCTACTAGTTTCCATTAGGTTATGTAAATACCAACATAGATCACAACCAAAGACATTTGGTTGCTCCTTAGGAGTGACAGGGCTCCTCAACTCACAGACAGCTTGCAGTGTTTACAAGAGTACAATTTAGTTTTTATTTTTCAACACAAACCTGAATAATAAAACAATCTTTTTACTGAGCAAAATTTACAATTCACAAAGTGTAAGAAACTGATTTTGGGGAACATTTGTGTGAAGTTTGAAAAAAAAAATCAAACCTTTGGCATAGGGCCCATGTGGTGTGTTTGGGTACTGAGGCTGGTCAAGGTTTTTCCATTGACTAAGAGATCCACAGCCTTAATTATTAATCTGATAATATATACAAGTCTCATTTAATTTAGCATGTCGCTCTCTAATAAAGTTGCAAACCTTGAATAGTGGTCAATAGGTGAAGTAATGTTCCCCTGTGAATCAGTGTTGAATGAACTTTGTGTGGGAGTAGAGAAAGATAGGCCATTTGCATTCATCGACACTTACTGAGGCCAAAATGGTAATTTGGAGAGCAATCTATCAGGAGCTCACTTCATCATGCAGAATTTTATTAAAAAGAAACCTGGAAGGCTACTTTATTCAGATCATCCACGTCTCCTGACCAATTCAAAACCTCTGGTTAAAATTCAGTGCATGAAGGAAGAGAGTGGAATAGGTCCCTTTGTAAATTCATTGCTTGTGAGATAATTTAATTCATTGCTACTTCAATAACTAAATATAAGGAATTTTGAGAAACGGAAAGGTTTTCATTGAATGTTAGTTAAAGAAATCTCAGAATGTAAAACTAACAGAAAAGCAGTTTCCCCAGGCCTTTGTTCCATGTTTCCATTCAAGCAGGTGAGATTACAAATGCATCAGCATGCTTTTACATTTTCACTAGGCTCCTAATTTTTCATAATGTGGTCTGGGGTTGACTGTCCTCATCTTCATGTGTGACATCAGCATCAGCTGATCTGTTCTATGTCACCATTCTCTCACACCCTTCTTCTCTCCTAAAACACCTTAATATCCTTTCTCTATCAAGCAGTGAAGAGAGTGTCATTAAGAAGGCTCAGCACACCTCATCAATGATTAAAAGGCCAGAATCATGTAGAATTATCTAAGAACCCATTCTGCTTCCTTTGTACTTATGAGCTGTGAACTGATTAATATTTCATATGTGCATGTGTACCGAGGTGTGTCTGTGAGAAACACAGAGAGTGAGACTTGTGTCAAGGTTAATTTCTCTCTCGTCAAGCTCCACCTTTGCAGTCAAAAATATTTCCACTTTCTGCTTCGCTGGTGACGCACATGCCTCTCTGAACAAAGTAATGTATATAACTGTCTTTTAAAGATTGTCTGTGTGCAGAACAACCTGAACACTTATAGCTGATGGGCTACATGATGTAAAAATTGTGAAAATTGAAAAAGAAGTGAAGAAGATATTTGATTGTTGTTACTCTTTGTGCTATTTAAGGAGAAAACAGCTTTCAAACGTTTGTTAGATTCAATCTAGAAGCCAGATGGGTCAGCTGTTGATCTAAATAAATGCAACAGCTCCCACAACAATGTTAGTCAACAGAGAATGTGGCCCACATTATTCATCCGCCTTGACCTGCAAAGTAAAAACATAGAATTTAGAGAATAGAGTTTTTATTGATTTATTAGATGAGGTGGCTTGGACATCTTTTCGGACACCTCCTGGACGCTGCCTAAGGGAGTTCCGGGAACGTCCCACCAGGAGGAGGCCCAGGGGACAACCCAGGACACGCTGGAGGGACTACGTCTATCAGCTGTCCTGGAAGTGCCCCGGGCTTCCCCCAGAGGAGCTGGAGGAAGTGTCTGCAGAGCGGGAAGTCTGGAAGTCTCTGCTGAGACTGCTGTCCCTGCGACCCAGTCCCAGATGAAGCGGAAGACGACTAAACGAGACGAATTTAGAAACATAATATATTGTCATCTTTAAATAACTTAATGTTTTTTTGTATACAATATGTGTATAATAAGTGAACATGACAACTGAAGGTAGGACAGTGGTGGAGGCTTCTCCAGCTTTTGCGGTACGTGGGGTAAAGCGCAGAGTAGACTTCTGCAACTGCATACATCAAATGTTGCTTGGGTTTGTCTGCACCATCAGTATGGAATTTCTAGGGACGCACAGCAGTTTCCCACCAAGGGGCAAGGGAGTGCCTCTTCGAGAATTCGCGAGAACTTTGGCAGATGACCACACAGACAGCCGGAAAGGCATACCAAGGACCAATCACAGCTGCTTTTTGTCTGCGCACTGCCACTAGAGGTCTGGGCGGGTTTGCAACCTTCCGACGTGTAGTCAGGATTTTTTTGAGGTGCGTGACGATGGTTGCAGAACCTCTGCGCAGGGTGCCAGGTCGCGCACAGACACAGAAGCCTAAATTGGCCTTTATTGGTGTCAGTCAAAGGCTTCCTGACACTACTTCCAGTCTGATCGTGTCCTGCAAGGCCCAATCAGGAGGAGGCTTACAGAAGAGGTTTGTCTCCGCATCACATTTTCCTTCGGGCAAGGAGAAAATCAGCCAGAAGGCAGAAACGCCTTCGAGAGTGCAGCCGTCCTCGAGTGTGGCCGCTGGATAGTCAATTGTGCACACGGTGAGATCCCGAGCACAATCCCGAGTGCGCATGGGAGGAGATGCCGTGCATGGAGAGTGATGTTGTCCTCTCAGAGCGGCAGTTTCTCTCGCATGTGTGATTTTGTTGTGGGGTAGTAGATTAACTCGCTTCTGTCAGTGAGCCCCAGGGCAGCTACAATGTAGCTTGCCACCATCAGTGTGTGAGTGTGTGTGTGAATGGGTGAATGAATGTAGTGTAAAGCGCTTTGGTCAAGTCTCCTAACTTGAATAAAGGCGCTATATAAGTACATGCCATTTACCATTTACCATTTAACCATGCGCAGAAGTAGTTTAACATACATGCGAGGATGTTTATTTTGCTCGTGGGTATTTTGTAATAAATGTGAGGACATTTTATTATTATTATAAATTTTACAATTCAATAACAATGGTTCAACTCCTAAAACCTGTTTTGAGCCAACCACAAACAGAAATCTTATTTTTTTAGATTAACCTTAGCTAGCAATGTAATCAGGTGTGTGCCTACATGAGTTGTTTTGTTCAAGCAAAAAACATGTTGTACATATGAAACACATAAAATCGATATAGAATTACTATGAAGGGTAATATTAATATTAAATCATTCATTAATTCATTCATTCATTATGGTTAATTCATATCAATATTATAATATTATATGATATTAATATTAACAAATGCTGTGTCCTTTGTTTTATTTGGGTCTCTTTACCTTTCTTTTATTTTCCTTTTTTCCTTAGCATAAAATATACTGAAAGTTAGAGAAATGTTTAAATATATTTTTGCATATATTTTAGACAAGACAAGATTTTAGAAGTAATTTTTTTGCATATGTATATACAAAAGCACACATGGAAAGTTACGATTCTAATCCTAAACTGAAAAATCCTACGGTAGATTTAATTTACAGAGTTCCAAGTTAGCTTCCATCAAAATGGATTTAAATGTAGTCAATTCACAAATATGAGTGGAAAACCAAATAATAACTGGATGCTTAACACAATAACAGTAAGATAATAAACAGAGCTAAGGAATGGGTTGTACTATTCTTTCAACTCACCTTCTGAATAAACATTCAGTCCAATCCAAAATGCACATATAATCATATTCACACACATGCATAAACCAAGATGTACTCACCCACTGAGGACGACAATAAAATCCATGACATTCCAACCATTTCTGAGGTAGGAACCTTTATGGAACACAAAACCCAGAGCGATGATCTTTATCCCGGCCTCAAAACAGAACATTCCTATAAAGTAAGGCTCTGTCTTCTCCTGTTGGTGTAAACAGCATCAGGAAATTCAGATTAATTGTTAGCATTAGCAGATGTTACAGCAGCACACCTAAAACTTCTATGTTTTAGTTAGATAGTCAGATTTTCTTACCAGTCTCTTGGACATGGGGGTTTTATCCTCGCCAGGAAGATGCTGCTCCAGAGCCAAAACTATACAGTTGGCAATGATGGTGGCAAGGATCATGTACTCAAATGGAGTGAAAGATCGAAGTTAAAGAGTTCAACATTATGGATGAGGACAAAATTAAACTAAAGCAAGACAAAATATAGATTAACAAAAAAAAAAAAAAAATCTGTACAATTAAGAGGGGATTTTTTTAACTAAAAAACCATTTACCTAACACACCTGAATTAAATGGCAGAATCTCTGCATATTCATGAAAATGCCCTAATTATTTTAGTCAGATGAGTTAAAGCAGACACATCTAAAAGTTTCAGGGCACTGGCCTTTAAGGACTGACCTTTGACACCCATGATAATAGTGTCTCTCAACACATTCTCTGCTCACTTCCTCAATAATAATTCAACCCTGACTAGCTAAGAGATACTTTAGCAGTATAAAAATTGGGATAAAATGCTTTATTCACCAAACTGATAGAGTCTACTATGACCAGATATACTATATATATCCTGATGTTTTGTGCTTTGTGTATGTGGCGTAATATCTCAACTAGATTTAAATATTAAGTTAAAACTCTGAAGCTCTAAATTTAGCAAGAAATGAACTACCTGAGGTGCTTTGGATCATTTTCCTGATGCATTACCCAAGTGCTGTTGAGCTAATATTATAAACAGGTATTTTCCTCTACGACTTCAAGGTGAGGCGTCCTTTGGCTGCTCCCTTATTCTGCAAGTCATTGCAACTTGCTCACAGACTTGGCAGATTATTTTATGGCAGAAGCCATTTCTGAGACAACCAGGATTTGAATCTAGATCTTCTGCATTGAAGTCACAAAGTTATCAAGATTCTGGCAGCTATGGGAAGTACCATTGTACTACCTTTTGTCACGATTTGGTGTTGGATTGAGGACCCAAAAGCAGAGGCAAGTAGGCAGAGGTGAATTTAGGTGGGTTTAATGAGGTTCTCAGGTACGGAGGCAGGAATAAAAAATCCAACAAAATAACAAACTAACCAGAACCAAGGAGACATCAGGTGAAGCCAAACTCTAGGAGCCAGGGAGAGACAAGGAAAGCAGACAGACGTTAGACGAGGATCCAGCAAACAGGAACTGAAGAGGGATGTTTTTAAAGGGGACAGAGACAAAGAGAGGGCTAACGTGAGGATTGAAAACAGGTGAGGACAGAGCAGAAAACAGAGCTAGGGAAAGAGGACACAAGAGGGCAGCAGAGGACAACAAATGGAAAACTAAGACTGCGACACCTTTATTGTTTTATAAAATGCATCACCATTTTTCATGCCAGATCCAACATGAAAAAGACTTTATAAATAATTAAATAGACCTTTTTATTCCTTTTTGTTCCAGAACTCTTGAAACACTTTTTGGATGCCAGCTGTGAGCAGTCTCTATTGTAGCTGGATCAAGATGACTTTCCACAATTGCTTTAAAATTACTTTTATTTTTTTCTCCTATGTGAGGTTTGGAGGGACTCTTGAATTGGGCTTGGTAGTATGGTAACAACTGAAAATGAAATTAAATGCTTACTCAATTTGTAAATAATAGCTCTGGTGATTTTCAGCTGTCAAAATCTTCAGTAGTGGCTGTGCTAATCTTTTTACAATGGTTGATATGAGTGACTGTTTCCCATGGCCTAAATCTTATTTAGACTGTGGTGTTACATGAGGTTGTTTGAGGTATTTAAACCCACACCATGTTGGTATGCAGATAGTAGAATACAGCTGACACCTGCAGAGAGGAGATGTGGAGCCAAAGAAAGGAAGGCAGAGATTAGGAGAAGTGTGCAAAAAAATTTAAGCAAAAAGCGGGGGAAGTAAGCTGATCACTGGAGGAGAAGAAGATGTGATTTAGAAAGCAAGATGCTTGTGAAACAGCTTGGTGAGGTGGAGGCGAGAGAAGCCGGACAGATCGATGCTGTGTTGGCAGTTTTATCCAGCAGGGTCAAGCAGGAACAAATGAGTGATGAGAAGTTAAAGAAACAGAGCAAACACAATACCCTTACTAGCCTGTAGGGGCTCTAAGATAAACCAGTGCTGCCCTTCAGATTGACTGCTGGAAGCAGAAAACAGCGGTAAACAACGACAAAAAATATCAAAACAGCCCTAATGACCTGCTACTGCATAAATTCTCACATGGATTGTACCTTTGACTATTCAGCTACACAGGCTTATTCTAGTAATCTACTTAAATTAGCTATTCAGTCCAACACAACAAACAAAAGGGCAATAGTAGGGGAAGGAAGAAGGAAGGGGAAAGGAAAGTGAGGAAATGAAGATGGAAAGACAGGGGAGGAAGGTATCCAAGCAACAGGATCCTCTTCCAGCCAGTGGAAGTTAGTGTTACAAAACCGTTACTGGGCAGCTGGATCTCATGTGTGGGGGTATCTCCTGTGCTGACATACAGAAGCTACACTTTGACAGCATGCATCAGGCTAAAGATCAAAGCTTAACATTGGTATTGGTGAAAAATTTATGCCAATTACCAATGAATACAATGACTTTGAGTGAGTCCATAACAACATAACTTTATTTAATTATTCACTTAAATTGTTATGTTTGACAAGCATTCTGACAGCCTGTTCAGCCAGCCATTGGCCTGATTAGCCATCATCCAGATTCTTAGGCTTACCATCAGGCTTTCACCGGCTTGTTCAGTTTTCCTCTGCCTTCTCAAGCCTGCTACAAACCTGTTCAGTCTACAATCAGCTTGTTTGCCTACATCTCCAGTACAGTCCATCATTATCACAAACTTTTAATAAACCTTTTGTTTAAAAGTGCAACCATGTCTGGCTGAGTAAGAACAAGACAAGTGGGTTGCTGGTTTAAAGCTCTGCTCCACGTATCTCTGTTGTGCCTGCTGTTGAATGTCAGAGGCCCCAGTGACACCAATAGTACTGCAGCCTTGCTTCTGTCGGTCTGTCCCAGACCAGCTGTGGCTACAACCTGGCTTACCAGTATGAATGTGTGAAGGCTTTATCAAGTCCTCAGACATGATAAGGTGTTTTACAAGTACAGGTCATTTATAAAATCATTTATAAAATGTTAAATTATTTAAAAAGCATTGAAATAATTGGTTTATTTCACTGATTTTATTATAGAAATGGCAGACACTGTATTACGGTATCACAATCATTATTGATTATGACTTAATAAATGAAATACATTTTCACAGTGAGCTTTTTAAATAAAGATGTGTTCTTATCATATCTGCAGATGTTGTCATATGTATATCACTACATAAATCCCTTTATTTATCAAGCTCAATAATGAAATTACTAATTATTTATTTAAAACTAAATTAAATTTGCATGAACAGATATCTAGTTACAAGTCACTGGGAGAAAGAGAAAACTTAATGAATAATTTGATTTCTTAAGCCTTTTTTGAAAGAAACTAGCTGTGAAGAAATTGTGTTTCTTTTTCTTAAAGGCGCACCACATACTGTGACCTAAAGAGTTGACACATATAAGTTATTTTAAAGGATTCCTCAGGCCAATATACAGCGCTTGACAATATCAATGCTACAAGCGGGCCTCCCCTCTTCAAATACAGACTATGCAAGTTGGGAGAAGACGCACCTTCGTTGGCCAAAAAAACGTAACGTTTTAAGGCCACAGACTCTTATATAGTCATTTAGGTAAGGTTTTTGCTCTATCATTTTTCCGTCTGCTCCACTACCGGTCATGGCTGAGGCAAGGAAACAGTTTAAACCTTCTGAGGAGGCTAAAAAGAGAAAACGTGAAAGTGATCATGCACAAGGACAAACAAGAGTCGATCTTGCTAAGGAGTTTGCTCATTGGCCCAGGCTGAAAGAAGAAGCCGGATGCAAAACCGATTCTCTTTTCTCAACTTTATTATCAGACTGGTGAGTTAACACTTTGCTCCTAGTACACAGTCATATATCTTTGTTATTTTAGATGTTTAGTAGAAGCAAAAAAAAAACAGGGAGTTAAAGGTATAGCGCCCCTAGTGGCCAAACGTTATACTGTGTGTCTTTAAGTACCTCCTGGGGTTAAATGTCTGGCTTAGATTTTGCACACATGCCCCAATCTTATTTCTTATTTGCTTGATCACCATATTTGATCCACTTAACATCAACTTAGTATTTTCTTAGAGTAAAACATTGTGCATCTCAGTTACAGAAGTAACTGTGTAGACTTATGACTTCACATAACTTTTGTTTTAATTTTTGTCTGACTCTTCTACAAAAAAAGTGTTAACTTTACTCTTAGTTAAAAACTAAAAAGTGTCTCATCGGTCCTCTTGCTGTTCACTGGGTGTCAACTGATATGCAATATGTTTTGTGATTCGTCTACCAGTTTCAGGAGTGAGGCGTCTCGTGAGCACTCTGAGTCACAGTGACGCTGGCACTCTGCCTCGACTCCTCAAATATGCGTGTAAAAATAGATGCAGAGACAAGAGTGTGATGCTCCATGCATCTGTGAATACGCTGAAGCACAGATTGGATCCAAACCCCAGCCGTATTGTTATTACACAGAGGTGAAAATCAAAATGAAGCAAAGGCATCTGAGCCTGGCTTATTGGAAATCTGTAACTGATCTGAGGCATGTGTTGAAAAATAAGCTGAAGCAAGCGCTGAAAAATTATGTACAGAAGAAAAGCTGTGTAATCTGAATTTAGAGGAAATTTGTTTAAAAAAATATGATATTGCATAGAATTTCTATTTGACCTGAGAGGCCCAACGATTTTGAAATATTCTGATATGTAATATTAATATAATTTATTGAAATATCAGATATGCAAGACACCTTTGTCTCTTATAATTGTCAAAAGAACCTTATTCCAGCAGTCCCACTCTTTGTCAAACTAGAGACTAGATTTTTCTTATTTACAGAACATGTGTTTCTTCCTTGCACATCTAGCGTGAAAGTTATTAAAAATTGTCTAGATATGCACTTTGAAATAACAAAACCTTGATCCTTTTTAGGTCCAGTGATGATATTTCAGGGTTTTTAGAGACGTCTTTTAGACTCTTTCTGCCTTCATTCAGGGTGAAATTTCTCAGACAGCCAAACTTGGGCATGTGTCAGTTGTTTTAAA